TGACCTGTTCGTTTTCCTCTACACCCTGGCCATCATCCATATGCGCATCCTCGTCAACGAACAACGCACGGAATGGATGCACATGGCTAAATTCCACCTGTTCCTGGGAGTCACTGAGACACGGGTGCTCCTCAATATCGGTGTCCCCATCTGCGTCGGTGTCTGTAAGGTCTTGGTCCTTTGCTGATGCGGAAGATGAGGGAGTAGGTTTCTCAACAGGATCGCCGAGCTCGCTCACTCTCCTCTTGACAGGATCACCTCCTGGTGGCGACAGCAGTTTCGCTGGGATGGAAAACACAGGGCGAGGTAGTGGGGGAGGGGCTAGCCGCACTCGACCTCTGGCACGGAAGATGTGTGGGGTGTTGGAAGTGCCTCGACGGCGTGGGATCTCGATGGTGTTGATGGTGATGTGCACCTGGGAGTGAGAGGAGTGGTGCTGCAGAAGAATTAATCAGAATTGAAGGGAACGAAAAGAGGAAGGGAAGAGGAACGTACGTAGACAATAGCACGCTCAGTCTCTACACCATGCGGCCACGCACTTCCAAGCGAGAACTCTGTCTCATCATGCCACGTCCACTCCTCTGATTCCTCCATCGCAGCTTCTTCGTCTTCTTCCTTTTCATGTAGCGCGTCTTCCAACTGTTTCTCCATATGGAGATCCTCATCATCACCCATCAGCGCGTTGTTGAAGGAATCAGGTCGATAGAGACACGGATCGCGTACAGTGGAGAGTTTTGTCCACGTCTTTCCCTGTTTTATTTGGCCTGGCTTGTACAGCGCGCTATAGAGCATAACATCCTTCTTTACCTCGAATAGATGATCTTGGTCGCTAGATAGCACTCCGCCAAAGAGAAAGGCGATAAGAGAGCGGAGGTGGCTGAATGTATAGCTCAGCGGGACCTGGACAATACGGAAAACGCCGCCTTGTTTGGGACTGAGACCACTCCTCACGAGCTGGAAGCGCAGAGCGAGATGCTTGGAGAAGGAGGTCGGCGGTGGAAGGGTGCGTATGAGTGTCTGTGTGCGTTTCCTGCCGAATGGATTAGTAGGGGAATCGAATGGGCGGAGGGGGTAGGAGGTGTGTGGTGTCCTGGGAGTGGCGAAGGTGATTGTTGACGATGACGAGCTCAACGACGACGACGCATTGGGCAGAGGCGTGTGCGGGAGAGACAGGTGTCGGCGTTTCCGTGAGCGCAGTGGAGAGTTGGAGTCGAGGTCGAGGGGACGTTTGAAAGCCATCGCTGGTGAGAAGGGAAACTCTGGCAACTCGTATATTTATGGCCTGTGACTGTTACTCAACATTATCACGTGGGCGCGTGTTTCGTGTCGTATTCCTCGTGACCCGTGACGCGTAACTCGGCTAAATCACCTTGACCTCTGTCTTAGATTCTAACACTATCATGGCCAATCTTTTACGCTCTGCCAAGTCTGCCTGCGACTGGACCAGAAATGAGCTCCTCGCCTACAACATCACCATCGGGCCTGTTACCCCGCAAGAGTTCTTCAGCTCTGACACAGACCCCTCGTTGGATCACCTAGATCGCGCTATTCTCACTGCTGCTCCTAGTTCTGACAATTCGAGCTATTCCTACAATGCCATCGAATTCCTTGGCTACCCGTATTTCGCCACCCGGGAGAGTCAGACGATCATTGACTTTGCCGCTCAGACTCTGAAACTCCTAGGATTCAACGATCGCCACGCTTTGTTATCAATGTACTGTGTTATTCCTCTCACTATCTGCGGAGATAGCAAGCAAACCGCCCAGGCTGGCGTTTGCCTTCTTCATAACCCGACTAACATGGTCTTGCTTGTACTAGCCAACGACAAGATCGTGTCAAATAACAACGACGCAGAGGCCTCAGTTATTGCGGGAGCTATATCTGCCTTCCAATTTAACAACGCTAAGCGTGGTGACATCGGTCTTCCTCGCCTCAAAGCCATGACTATTCCTTGCATTACCATGTCTAGCACTTGCCCAACTTTCTATCTTGTACCTGTCACCGAAGAACTGAGCAACGCTGTCATTCACGGACAGTATCCTGCTAACCAGACCAGGGTCTTGAAATGCGTTACCGTCGCACGACATAACGAAGGCATGGAGGATGCAGAATACAGACAGCTCGCCTTAAAGCCCTTTCTCGCCTTCAAGACGCTGGCGAAAAGCTGTTGGTCTGAATTTTTGCAAGGTTATTAGGCAAACATAGCTTTTCATATCGAATTGACGTGCGTACATCCTCTTTCTGTACTCCGCGATGAACGCGTAAATATGTAAATGATGCATCATGAGACGATAACACTGCGTGGACGCTCCAGTACAATATACAGAATTATCCATTAGTAATCTTTCTTGGCCTAGTATCTTCAACCAGTACGACCATATTATAATTTATACTACGTTATCTATCAGAAAGCTAGCGTCTATCACCAAAGGCCAAAAAAAATTATCTGCTTGTCGCTCGACTGGCGCGTTCGGGTGGTTGCGTCATCAGTGTCAATGACGCTGCCGCACATGTATGGTTAATCAATATTAGCGGGTTCCTTTCAGGCTCAATGTACTGCGCCACTATTTGTTGCCTCCAATCTCACATACTAATGGTATTAAATTAGCTGCTGTACACCATTCACAGACCTTATAGAAACGGGAAGAAACGTGAAGAAAGTTACTATATCAATCATCACGGAATGCCTCTCTGGATATCAATTGGATAGTTCCATCTCTTCATTCCAACATGCTGATTACACCGGCCCAAAACCTCGGGTAGCAACTGGCATCGATGGTGTCTAGATGTAAAATCGTCTAGTCCTTATAATTCCTCCAGTAAGCCATGGTCTTAAAACTCCATCACCGACTCCTCGTTTCACAATCCTCACCGGCCTTCAAACGGAACTTTCATTAGCTATTCAAGGAAGTATTCCCCTGGCTAAAAAAAAAAGATCATCAATAATTGACCGAGAGGGGAATAGCTCTAAATCCTGACGAGAGCGCCGTAAATATGATATTATACAAGAAGTATGGCCCCCATCAGTGGCAGCACAGCTCATGTCCCAACGCACTCCAAATAGTTAGAGCTCCCATGGCCCATAGTATACATATATGTACACGCATTCTCCAGACACGCTCTCTCTGAAGTATCAAGTGCTCTCCCCGAGTTTTGTCCTCTTGAAAGTGCAGGCTGTGCAGCATGTCCAATAATGAAGCAGAAGCTTCTGCTTTATCGAGACTTGAGGGTATTCGCTATATTTCCGGTGAGTCGGTATAAGTATCTCATATATCCTCCCTAGCTAATATCGTTTTCTTGAAATTCTAGCGGCGGCAATAACATGTTTGCTCTGGGACCACGCACTAACAATCGACGACGAATTGGAGCATATATGGAAAAACAAACGACGGGGACTTGCAGGATTTGCGTCAAAATTTAGTTATGGACTTGGGAGGTATGGGGTTGAGATAGCTATGGTATTTGGTGCATATGGTGCGCACTATTTTTAGCTGCTGGATGTTGGAAATTGATGGAGAGTAATTCTGGAATGTAGTATTATCTGGGATAACGCACATCAGTGATCCAGCTGTGAGTGTCTTTCATTCTTTTCGTTGAGTTCAAGAAGCTGATATCTGGGTGATAGGTGTAAGTGACTAAGCCAATACCACCAGATAAAATATTTAAGCAAACTCCAGTTGTCGAATATTTGTCTGGGTTCTCGTTGGAATCGGAACGGTGTTCGCAACTATAACCCATTGTGTGTTCTATTTAAAATTATTCCTCTACAGCCGTACTAACGAAGAGATAGTCACCGTTATTCTCAGGATATACATATCTTGGGACCGACGCAGAGTTATAGCATATATGCTGTCTGGCGCTTTCCTAGTTTTGATATCACTTTTCACCTCTTTTCTGCTCGTAGCGGCGGGTAAAGCGAATGGTAGGTCTTCTTCTCACTTCTCCTCGTTTGTTTGTACTCAATATATATTTTAGTTGAGTTTAATGATGAGTTAAATACCTGTATTCTCAGAGACATACCTATCTATGTTCCGCTGTCGTTTGGGTCGATAGTACATATTTTTGACTTTCATATTCTGATTCTTTGCTCATTTAATCCCGTACAGATAGTTCTCGAAGTATTTATTCTCCTCTTAACAATTTATAATGCTATTGCAACTCCCTGTCGAACTCATATCGAGGTGATTTACAAACTTCAACGTGATGGATTTATGGCCTTTATGGTAGGCATTTAAGTCCGTATTCAGTGTCCGCGTATGCTGACCACGGTCGAATCCCAGCTTCTACTTGGTAATCAAACTCCTTTCTTCTTTCCCTTAGATCTTTAATTCACATTTTTCCACAGGATTGCGTGTTATCAACATGAGCTTTGCTATATTCGCCGATGTGAGTGATACTGTTGTTCGTTCAACATCTGACGTTCGTAATGAGAATTATTACAGCCAGCGTACTGCCTCGCAACATCAACGTGAGTTGACTGTACTTGGTTTCTCATGTGAGGCTGACATATATGTGCAGAGTGGCAATAGCACTATCTACGGTGACAAATTCACACATGCATGTGCGTCTCGAAGCTTTAAGGTCGCATCACTTACAAAGCCTTGAAACCATCGAACTAAATGGTGTTAGTGTAATTACAAAGAAAGAAATCAATATTAGATAAATATTAGCATACCGTGAATAGTGGGATACTGATACGACGAAACCATAATGAATGAGAACTACCGATGACGAGATACATAAGCATATCATAATAGTTATACAACATACATGCATTTCTCATTTCTTCTGTTGTTGAATTATTGTACCCAGATAATGAAGTTATTAAACGCACCTGGGTGCATTTAATAAAGTATGTAGCTATCAATAATAAAATATTGTGTACTCAAGTGGTATAATCTCCACGTCAGCCACTGGGCTTCCAAATCTTACATTTAATATGTGACAAATAAGATGAGTTACAGGACACAAAAAGCACTTCCCCATCACTCTTAGTGTAAAGGTCGTACCCGGGATCGAACCGGGGTCACGAGAACTCTAACTGCTTGTCAGAATCTCGGGTGATAACCACTACACTATACAACCGTTGTTGCACCGTAATTAGGTAGCGCTTTGAAGCCAGAAAACACTACTTCTCACCCTAATAAGCAGATTATCCATATCAAAATATTCATGACTCCTCCAAGTCCGAGTGGCTTCCAAATAATTTACAACAAGAGATCAGGTATTAACTACTAGAGCTATTCACAGTTCGATGCAATTCAGAGAAAATAATGGAATACTTATAATTCTTAAATCATCCCTCTACAGAAGTACAGAGGTGAATTTTTCAAAAACCTCATCCGAGTTCAACTGATGGTTACGAAAAATTAAGAAATTCATAACCAACGCTATCGATGAAGTTTAGCAATTTCTACCCAACTCTTATTTTTAAATCAATATTTATGGGAACTTCGTCTGTATAATGGCTTTAACCTTACACTTTCATTAGTTTCAGCGATTTAGCACTGTGGATAAGTATGCCGCACTACGCAGACTCGAAAAAGGAATAAATCTGTGAATGTATGTAAATAGATGCAAATACCATGGTTCAAGCCGCACGATGATCATTTACTGTAAACTCCTCCTTAACTAATTCTTAACTTCTCCGTGAGCTTGCTACGACCCGCTATATTTCTCTAGGTGTTCTAGTACTGTACATGAATAGTCTCTCGGATACTACACGCGTTAGTATGAATCTTGGAAGGCCTTGCCACTGCTGCTTACCCAGGCTCCAGCCCCGCACCTCATAATATTAAAGAGGTCTGTAAGTTCATATGTATGTTATCTAAAGCTTTTGAATAATGCATATGTAGTGGTTTCCGTCCACAGAACTCCGTGATAAACTGACTCAGAGGCTCAGGTTACTACTGTGGGAAAAATAATTGTAAACCCTCTTTCTCGAGCAATCGCAGTTCGCGTAAATCTTTCTCGCTGACCACCTTTGAGCCTTGTAACTCCAACCTATTTAATCTTCCTCTGCTTCCCTTTCTACTGCATCGTGAACCTATCATATCCGCAAAGGCTCCATCTAAGGCACGGATACACCAATCGCCACTGATTGAAATGCATGCCAAGTTGAGAGCTATCCCCGTGGACAATACATCCAACTCCAATTTATTATCGTCCGTGTTCACAGGTCCATCATCCTTATCTTCGGTTGTTTCCGTTAATATCCGCAACAAACTGTCATCTATTAATGGTTCCCATAACCAGTCCCTTCCGTCGATAATGTGCAGCTCCTCGAGTGATTGCATACTGTCATGTTTTAAACAGGTTTCCAAATCATCCTTGCTTATTCCGAGATTATGGAATTCAAGGCACAGAATTCGACATCCGGACCGTTTCAGAAACGCATCAAAAATTGGATATGTCCATACCCCCATCGGCTCTATCGTTCTAATTGAGAGCGTCTTTAAGGCTGGAAAAGTGACTTGCTCGAAGAAAGCCGACAATACCCTGGGCGGAGCAGATAATACAAGCGACGTGAGTGAAAGATGCTCGATAGTGATGAGAATGTCGACTCTGTCCATCTTCTCAATAGATAGTACACATTCTACAACGTTTTCACACTCCTGGAGCAGATTTAGAGTCTGCTGTACGGAAGATATGGGCTGCAACTCCAGATGTAATAATCTCTGCCAGGGTATGAGCTCATCTCGTTTGTTCCCCGTTTGTTGTGGGTACCAGTTGAGACAGAGGTTCGATAGTATCGGGACATTCCCGAGCATAGGAAGAATCGCATCCACCGTAGACTCATTCACTCGCGAATTGTGAATGAAACACCTTTCCAGCAGAGGTGCCTCTCTTTTCCGTGATGGTTCATTGCGGTATAGTGGCCGTAATATGTCGAATTCGACATTTTTCCATCGATCTATATGCCGCGCATACAGCTCCAGAAAATCTTCCGTGACTCTTCGGTTCTCATCACTGCCACTTCTTTGCACAAGTGATAAGGATAGGGGCAAAACTCCTGAGGAGTTCATCCACATTGATGCTGCATCAATTGAGCAGGAGGCTCTGCCGCTAGACACTTCGATGCTTAAGCTTGTCCAGAGAGGGGATTGAGAAGTAGCAATTTCCCTCCATGCATGGGAGACATGACAAAGTAGTAGCGGAGCATAAGAAGAGTTGCAATACTGTTTATTGTCTTGAAGAGAGCTACCCAACTTTTTTTCCAGCAGCTGTTCTGGTAGACAATGCGCAAATACTTCCGCCCAGGTTTCGCGAGGGATTATTATCTTCATCGCCAACGAATATATGGAAGGGGTAGATGACTTGTTTCGAAGGGCTCCCTCAGAAAGGTGGCGTAAATTTATATCCGCCCATGTCTCATTGTAATGTATGCATGTCTAATTGCGATATGCTATGTGTACGATCAAAATTCAGTCAGATTAGATGCCCCTATCAAGAATTTCAATAACTGATTCGACTACTCACCCACATCATTCGACTTTTTGCTGCGAATCCAACTCCTTATTTGTTGGTTAAGGTGACTGCTAAGAATTGCGCAAGGACTAAAAATAGACCATCTAAAAATAATTTGCTATGGATATACTAAGCGTTGTACAACAATTTATAGGTAATAATCTTCCTCATATTCTTCTTTCCCATTTTCAATAATCGTATTGAAAGTAGCCAATTTGACTGAATATTCAGAATATCGTTGACATTCTGTTCGGTGCTCTGTTTTCGCTTCTTCATTGTCAACATCTTCAGCTTCGAAAAAAGGCTTGTTGGCAAGTGCTATTGCCTTGGCTCTTCCATTCTCTATGAGGGCGGTGATTCCGTTCTCCAGGAGTACAGATCGAGCCTGAATAGTCTTACAGCGCGAAAGTGTTGCTGCAAGTGCGCCACCCTTCACATTCATCTGTCTCAAGAAGTCAATTGCATGATCATACGTGCTGAGAAAGCTGCTCACATGAATGTTGTCTGATTTAAGCAGGCGCATAGCATAGTCGATAGCTCCGGTGTCAACAGCAAATGTTGCACCAACGTCACCTGCAATAACGAGCCTCCTGAAAGCATGTGAATATCCCCAATTATTCTCAAAATCGACAACCTCTTCAAGGGCTAAGATTTCTTGCATGGCTTGAACTAGGGGCTGCCGGCTGTCGTCTAAGCCGGCAAGGGTGTGAATCGTGTCTATGAGCTCCGACATGTCGTCAAACGCCGACGCAGATTCACCGAAGATCTTCAGTAGGGGCTGATGAAGACCAGCAGAGATAACATATGCCACATGTTGGGGTAGGAATGCACGAACGAGACGCAGAATCGCAGTTGAAGGTTCGTTTGTAGAAAGTAATTCTGCACACCTCGGCAATATTTTAGATACTGCCTCAGCATATTCTTCATCAGCTTCAACCAGCTGTCGAAGCGCTTCCAGCGGAATCTCAACCTTCTTCTTATCGGTAGATTTAATTAGACGGGATGCGTCTTGAATTGCACCTGCGTTGACAACGGCCTTTCTGGCGGCTAGAGTAGAGGCGCTAAGAAGTGTAAACCGTTCCCAAACCGATCTCTCGCTAATACGAGGGGTATATGCCTTCTTTTTCTTCTTCTTTCCCCCTTTGTCGGACAAGACAGCATCAGCAGGTGGTGATGTCAATGCAGATATGTATGAACGCAAAAGATTCGTCAATTTCACTGGGTCTTGATGGCATAAGAGACCTAGCAATGGCGCACTCTCATCTGAGGTACCATCCGTACTGTCAAATAACTTGAAAAGGGTCGGTAAAATGGACGCTTCCTCCAGTGTTGTAATGCCTTGTGGGAAGTCTTTAGATAGAGTAGCAAGATCATTCGCGGCACGAGCAGCTTCGTACTCTGTATCAAGCAGTGTAATGGCTCCCGCTAAAGCCTTTTGATCCGTAAAGAAAGCGTCTTTTGCACCCTTCACAAGGTCTTCATCATCCAGTGTTCGAACCAGACCAGCTAGAGCATAGAGAGCCATACCGCGCTCGCCGTAACTCTCATCTTCTTCAGTCGCCTGTAAGGTGTGCAACAATCCCTCGACGATGCCTGCCTTACACATAGCTGTAGCTATGACGGGACTCGCACGTATCCAGTCGTCACAGCGAGACACAGAGAGCGCGGGATTCCGGCTAAGAAGTTCTTTGATTGACACAGCGATCGAGTCGACGTTGTTCGTTTCAACAGCCAGTTTGGAAACAACTGTCAAAGTATCTCCATCTCTGGATATTTCGTGACACCGTACAAGAAGTGGGCCGATAAGCTGAGAGGCGTAGGGAACCCATAATGGAAGGGAAAGCCTAAGTATGCCAATGGTAGAGCTTGTAATTCTATTGCCAACTATCTGTTAGTCCCTCATGGTTATAATGAGAAAGTATGCGTACTTTTCTAGATCTTCGCGTGCCTTTTGTGCCTTCTGCTGGTGTTCTGCTATAATTTTCTCATATTTATCTTCCGCTAATCCATCAGCACTAGGTTCCTCTAACTCCACTGGTATGGAATGAAAGGCTTTCAGAATGTGCTCAACGCTGGCAGGTGACACAAATTCACTCCAGGACTTAAGCCACTCCGTGCTCTCAATGTCCTCAAGCATCGCGAGTACCCAATAAACATCATTCAATGACATTTGTGTTTCGTCTGCAATTAGCGCTGCGAGTGCTCGTGGAAGACTCTTATTGTTTCGGCCGAGATTCCTGTCCACATCATCACTGCAAAGCAGTACACGGAATCCCTCAACAACAGCCCGGCGCATTTCGATATTGTCGTATTCTAAACCCAATAATTCCTGTGCACGATCAAGAGCTCCCGCTTTAACAGCTGCGTCAGCCACACGACGCTCCTGACGGACCAGATGACGTCCAACGTATTCGCCAGACAATGATGCAAAGAACATCCCATCTGCCGTAGAAATGTGCGCCTCAAATTCTTTACAAACGATGTTGAACCCTCTGGTATTGCCCCAGCAGGCTTGAGCAAGGAGATAAAGAGCACCTGAGGCAGAGTCTTTCTGCTTGAGGAGCCCCATAAGATGGTTCACGAGTTCCGGAGTAATGATGCTGTCCTTGAGTGGCGAA